ATACAAGCAACACAACCGCAGTAGCTATCAAAATACCAAGAGAAACAAAACAATATACGATAAAAATAAGACCGTCGAGCAAAAAAACCAAAATAGCAACACAAAACAATCAAAGCACGCAAGGACTAAACGGAGTGTCAGTCTCGGATCGAGAGGGAAGAGCCACCGGAAAACGAAAAGTTCACCGGGAAAAGTAAAACCCGAGAGCTTCATTTTTAGATCTAGGCCCATTGAGGTTTTTTGTGGTAATCGGACTCTGGTTTCGTGTTCATGAGGTTGGGGGGAATATTTTGGGTATGGTCAGGAATTTTTCCGGCCATCGGAGTGGCGGCGGACGGTGGTTAGCCACCAAAGCGGTGACCGGGTTTCGGCCAACTATTGAGGAAGGGGAGAGCATTTGGGAGGGGTGTTCAGAGTTTTATTTTCTGGTTTGGTAAAAATGATATTTTTTCGGTTTTGGTCTATTTATAGAGGAGAGACCACTGTGTAATTAACCAATAGTTAAATTATTTCTGCAGTCCCTCATATTTTGAAGTGTAATTCATTTTGGTCACTTGTTTCAATTTTGCCTCTGAATTTTTAATTTATTCAATTTAATCCCTGTTTACATTTCTTATATTTTTCAATTTGGCCCCCTAACTTTTTATTTTTCTCTTGCAGATCATTTTTAGTACCAATTTAATCCATCAATTTCAATTTATTTCAATTTCGTCCTTTAAATTTTTAGTTATTCATTTTTTCCCTTTTTTAATTTTAGCATTTTTTATTTTAATTATTTATTTTTTTCCTTTTAATTTTAGTATTTTATTTATTTATTTATTTGTTTGTTTTATTTTTTACTTCTTATTATTTTTATTTTATTACTTTTAAAATTTAACATTTTTTTATTTTTTTTATTTTTTCCTTTGATTTATTTAATATTTTTTATTTTTATTTTTATCTTTTTTTCCTTTGATTTATTTATTTATTTATTTTCTTTGATTTATTAAATATTTATTTATTTTTTTATCTAATATTTTCGACTTTTTAGGGATACTTTCAACCAATCAAAGGTAAATAATTTGAATCGAATGTTTTAAATTTTAATTTTCGCAACTATGACAACCGACAAATTAAATGGTACCGAAAGGGCAGTTCAAGTGTGCTAATCCTTCCTTGACTGCAACCGACTCCCGAATGCGACATATTTCTGGCAAAACGCATATCTGGTAAGATGGTGTCCGATCAACCAAATTTTTTAAAAAAAATAAATGATTAGTGACGGCTCTAACATTTTATTTAAGTCGAAGCCAAATTTCAGGCCCACCCGAAAGATGGTTGCGACAACAACATAGACGATGAGAGATGAAAAAGTTTTTAAGATTTTTTTAAGATTTTTAAGGGTTTTGTGAAGATTAAGAATTTTAGAATTTGTTTTGATTTTTTAAATGAAAAATTGAAAATTAAATTACATATCAAATAATGAATGATAATTTTTTTTAATGGCAATTAGCGGATTGACTTAAAATTTTCATCTAAAACTTAAAAATGGATAAAGTGCACAAATGATTCTCTGACTATAGGATATTACTTTGTCGAGTCTCCATCTATGAAATGTTACAAAATAATTCTTCGATTATAGGACACTGCTTTGTTGGATCATTGAACTATTAAAAGTTACAAAATGATCACTTAATTATTTATATATTTGAAATTCGTCTATTTTCGTTAAAAAATTGATGTCCATTGAGCTAGATGATAACCTATTGACTGAGATATGAAAAAATTTGATTCCTTAACCGTTTGAGTTGTATTTTGTGTATCGATTCTCCATTTATATTATATCGTCGAGCTAGTGCTTGAAAAATTATATCGTCGAGCCAGAACATGAAAACAACGACGGTGTCAGTAAATATCATTAAAATATGATTTTATCACACCTCAATCAACATATCAACGTCCAGCTTAGAGAATCGTTAATTTTTTTAACGAAAAAAAACGAGTTTGGAACATACGAATAGTCAAATGATAATTTTGTAACTTTTAATATACGACAACTCAACAAAACAACATGCTATAATCGAAGAAACTTCTAATACCCTAGTGATTCAACAAATCAGTATTTTATAATTAGAGACTATTTGCTTTACTCTTAAAAAAAATACAACTTCAAGATTTTTTTTTTTGTTGATAATCAATCATCATGAAAGGGAAAGTAACAGAACATTGTTTGGTTGCATTTATCCATTGTCTGTTAATGCCACTCTGTCAAAGGCCGCTGTCTTCAACTCTCTCCCTTTTCTTCCTCAAGGGGAATAAAAGAGGAGGGGAAATACGTGAAATTTGTATATCTCTTCGCATCCAGTAAACTTCCTTTTAATTTCTTTAATACTTTGGTTTGTTTTTGGAATAATTTCCATTTAAAGTTCATGATTCAATGGTGATTCGATGGAATAATCGTCAGTCTTGGTGATTCAGTGGTTGGCAATTGTGTTTTTCATTTTCTTTTTTTGGGTTTTGCTTGAATTTTCCCAGGAAGAAAAAGGAACTCATCAAAAGGGGATCAAATATTGGGTTTTCACAAACTTATCAAAGGAAATCAAGATTGGAGTTTTCCTTTTCTTTTTAGATCAGGAGAAAAACATGAAAAACGATTCAAAAACGACATTTTTCATGATATCTTTGCAATTCATGTATATCCACCAAATTTGATAAATAGTGGGAATCTTGCTTTATTACTTTTTAGCATTTCATTGCCTTTGTTGAGGATAAATGGACGACAAGAAACAAAGAAAGAAAGAGAAACCGACCTCTTCCAGACAGATTTTCTGCCTTTCAGGACCCTTACCTCACTTCAGTTGATTGGTAAACACCTTTTCCTTCATTTGTTTCATTAACAATCTCCAATTTATGTTTACATTTTTTTAAACTTTTCTCTCAAGTGAAAAAAAAATTGCATGATATGCCTGAGGCATTTAGGAAATTCATAGATTTGCAAGTGTAGGATTATCTCAAACAGAATTTCATCTCAATTCATAATAGTTATATGAATGAGCTAACTTATGATGCTGAGAACCATAAATCTTGTACTTGTCTAATTGTAGTTAATCCCGAGCTAAAACTCCTTTGTCTCGATGAATTGGAACTCTTGTTGAGAAAATTATAATGAAGTAGTATGAACAATAGATAATTCTAATTTCCCTAAGCAAGATCAAAATCCAGAAGATTTGTTGGTGCTGAGAACTCTGAGGGCCAAATTCAGTGAGGTTTGCAGCGAAAGCTGCAACCTATGAGAACATGTGGTTATAATATAAGACGGATAACGTGGTAGTTTCCTTTATTAGTTTTTAGTTGTATCTTTTGACAAGAGAATTGTTATGTTTAAGGCCTCTCTTTTTTTCCTTTGATGAGATCGTTCAAGCATTTTCTTTTAGTAAATGTAAGGGGCTTATTTGTGGTACTTTGGTAGGAATGATTTTCATGACCGAAGAATTGTTGCTGCAAGCTTGGTTCAGGTAGTGTACATTATAGAACGTGGTCGCCAACAGAACCGCATTGACCCTCTAGCTCATGCACCACCTTGGTGCCAGTTCTTCAATTTCCAGTTGGTCCATATTCTCGTAGACGATGTTGATAACTCGATTTTTGGTGCCATTTATGAATTCAATTTTTCTGACGTCAACCACAACCATTCAGCCCAAAGTTATCCACATTATGTTATTGCTTTTTGGGGTACTATAAATAAGTCAAACACGAGGTCTCGTGATCTGAAGTTGGATTTCCTGTGCGTCCGTAATAGACTTCATGAAAGCTCTCATTCTCAGCAAGCAATGCAGGCTGTGGAGGGTACCTTTGCGGTTGCTGGAAATTCAAGAATTTGGTTAACCGGCCATTCACTAGGATCAGCTATTTCATTGCTTATAGGTAAAAATATGACTAACATGGGTTATAACGTTGAAGCTTACCTCTTCAATCCCCCATTCTTGTCTGCTCATATAGAAGGAATCAAGAGTGAAAAGCTGAAGCATGGGATTTGCTTTACAAGCAGTGTAGTCAAAGCTGGAATCGCTGTTGCTATAAAAGGTCTCAATCATAGGCATGAGAATGATGATCCATTCAGTTTGCTCTCTGCTTGGAAACCATACCTGTTTGTGAATCCTGCAGACCTAATATGCTCAGGGTATATTGGCTATTTTGGACACAGGAAGCACATGGAGGAGATCGGGGCCGGAAATATTGAGAAAATTGCAACACAGAATTCTATAGTGAGTTTACTCTCATGCTCGGAGAAAAGGGATTTAGAACCACTGCATCTGATTCCTTCAGCTCATCTTACTATTAATTTGCGTCACTCGCCGAATTTCAAAAATGCTCATGGAATTCACAAATGGTGGGATCATGCTTTTATTGGTCTGTCAGAACTACATGAGTACAATACATATGATATGGATGAGAAGTTACTTTTAAGAACGCTATATAATAAAAAGTTAAAATCCTGACATTGGTGTAAGAACTATGGGTTATTGTAATCGACTTCCTGTTCCGTTTTTACCATGAAGACATACACTCAATTCTGTTCATAGTGTAAATGAATCCGTTAGAACTCGAAGGAGTCCGGTTCTTGAAACATTATATCTACATTGTAGATGTTAGGGGTTAATGGCAGAGAACTTTGATAGCCTTGACAATCATGCTTGGTCATGTTGGCCCCTTTCTTTGGTCTCTCACTTTGCCTTTTCCATTCTAGCTTTTGGTTGAAAATATTCTTTCATTGATTCCGAAATTAAAAAAAAATGGAATGTATTGTACCTTTAATGAAATGGAATGCAGATGCTTATCATTATTGCTCTTCTTTAGAGCACAAGGTTCTTAACCTTGAGGTCGTGGGATCGAGTCCAACGGAGGGCATTTCATAATTCGGAGGTCTTCTACGGAAGCTGCTCTCAACCTGGTGTTGGGGCAGCCTACTATCTTACCTCCCCTTACCCCATTATATATGGGAACAAGGGACAACCATTTTTTATTGGATAAGGATTTGATCCCATATTCTAACTTTATCTTGTTTTCCTCTTTGTTCTTGTAAACATTATAATAAATATTCTCATGTGTTCGTTAATTTCACGCCATCATGAATGGTGCTCGTGCTATACAATTTCTTCTGCAACTCTCTCTAGCTTCTACTCTTTGCCTGAAGAAACAAAAGCTTGGAAGCTCTCAACAATTGGACCAAAGGTATGCTTCTTTACTCATTAATCTTTGTGTTAGATAAAATCTCTCTTTATTTGAAATTTCAGAAAAGAGGATACAAATTGCAGCTCTTAAGCTTTTACTTGCTGCTGCACAGTAGAAAACTGCTTCAATACTTTGTAGAATCAGTATAGTATGTTACCCAAACTTCCATTTTTCTTTCACTGTCGGTATTTTGACGTATACTCGGGTTTTGTGTACAAGTATCCGAGACTCACCCTAAGTAGCATAGATAATAGGTAATAGGTAACATATGGCTGTTAGATAAACAATGGAAGGATCGACATGTACATTAATTCGAGATCAAGTTAGACTAAGAACAAACCTAAACAAAGAAAATGAAAATTTTGAGCAACGGACCGGCCCAGCGTGTATGCAGTTCTGATTACTTCTTTCCATGTACTTAAAAATAGGTAAATGGCCTCTGGTCGTGCAAATTTCAGCTTTTCGGGACCATCTCACATAAGAGCTATTGATTGGTAAGAGCTTCTGGTTCAGCTATCATTTCATTTTAAAGCGATACCAGTCCATTTTAGATGATTTCCCGTGTGTTTCTGGAAAATATTTGCTAGATTACTCAGTGTTTTTCGTTTTTTTTTTTGAGGTCAAATGAACATCATCGAAGATCGATTGCAGCGAGCTTGGTTCAAGGTGTTTATGTTCTAGAGCGTGATCGCCAAAAGAACAAGCAAGGGCTTCAAGCTTCTTGTGCTCCTCCATGGTGGGAATCTTTTAATTTTCAATTGAACCGTTGTCTTATCGACGATGCAGACGAGTCAATATTTGGTGCCATTTATGAATTCAAAAGCTCCTCTAAACCCCCAAACGTCCCAAATTATGTCATTGCCTTCCGGGGTACTTTGAATACTCCAGCATCCATTTCCCGTGATCTCAAGTTGGATCTTCTTTGCATGTGCCACAGACTCCACGAGAGCTCCCGGTTTAAGCTCGCCATGAAGTTCGTGGGAGACATAGCCGAAGCAAATGGACCCAATATTTGGTTATCGGGTCATTCACTCGGGTCAGCCATGGCATTACTAGCAGGGAAGAACTTGACCAAGAAAGGTTATTTCATTGAAACTTACCTCTTCAACCCCCCATTCTTAGCCACCCCAGTGGAAATACTGAAGCATCCGGTATTAAAAACTGGGTTTCGCTTCACAAGCAGTGTGGTTAAAGCGGCACTGGCAATTGCCATAAAGGGTCGGAATCCAAAGCCTGGGAAAGAAGATCCATTCACTGCATTATCTTCATGGATTCCTCACCTGTTTGTTAATCCAAATGATCTTCTTTGCTCGGAGTATAAAGGGTATTTTGAACATAGGAAGAAGATGGAAGAGATTGGAGCTGGGAGAATCGAAAGGATATCAATGAAGAGTTCCATTGTTTGTCTGTTCTCAAGTGTTGTGACCAGGATGAGTTCCGAACCGTTGCATTTGCTTCCTTCGGCTTATCTCACTATCAATCTAAGTCCAGTTCCGGATTTTAGGACTGCTCATGGGATTCAACAGTGGTGGGATCCTAATTTTAATGGTAAGGTTGAACTACACCAGTTCAACTAAATCTTTGCTTCACTGTGGATAAATCAAACAGTGAATTTGCTTCCGGTGAATTGTTTTTCAAAAAAGTACTTCTAAAAAAAAAGTGTTTGTCTAAGTTTTAAGTATTTAAGATTATTATTAAAAATAATCTTAAAAAGATAAAAATGCATGTCTTAGACGTTATGTTGTATAAATTAAAGATTTCAAATTATAATATATAATATATATTTTATTAATTTATTATTAATATTTGTATATATAAGATATTTATTTTATAAAAATGAAAATTTTAAATACATGATAAAGAATTAATACTATTATTTATGTGTCAAGTTCAAGTTAGATGTATAAATCATATTTTAAAAGCTAAAGATTAATTTACACGTGTCAACTTTTTTATTATGCAGAAAATCATTAATGGGAAGCAATTTATCGATGGGTTCATAAATTTCAAAGGCATAAATGTCAATTAATCTCAAACGTGATTTTTAGAAGTCTAAAAGCTAGATTTTTTAACCTTTTCGGTTGGAAGTATTGAGTGCTGTGAAAAAGCACTTATTTGAAAAAACTCATATTATTCAATATTGCTTTTAAGTAAAAAAAAAACTATTTTGAAAGTAAAAGTGTTTTTTAACTGCATGGGTGAATTATTATTATTATTTTTTTTGAAAATTGCATGGGTGAATTAGTATCTCTAAAAACAAACACAAATAATTTGTTCATATAAAACTACATAAATGACACTTGAACTTTTAGGATGTTTCTATTTTGGTCATTTAACATTTAAAACTTGTATCATACTCACTATTTTTTTAATTCGTAATTACTGCCACTATTTCGATTACCGCTAAGAAAAATTAATATGCCACGTAAAATTTTTCTTCCCAACAAAACCCTAAAATTGTTTTAAATTAATAATAGTTGTCTATCTTGTATCATAACCATTCGACGATCTTTCAATCGTTGGTCACCACTAAACACAACACCTACCATTAATGGCGTAGTTAAGTCTAAATAGGAGAGGCATCTGTCCGGGGCCCATAATTAAACAACACATAATCAAGAAACTAAAAAAGATTTATTTTCCTAATCGTTGTAAAGAAGAGAGTTTACAGACCGATAAATTCTTGTATAAATTATTTTTATGAGTAGTTGGGTGTTTATTAAAATTTCTTGATATTTTACGTTATTTGAAATTTGATATATTTATTAGATAGTTTGTTGAATATAATAAAAATAATTTATAAGTAAATTAATTTACTTTTGTATATTCTTAAAATTCAATTTTTTAGTAATTATTATTAAAGATTTAATTTCTAAATTTATCTCTAAACCTCATAAACGAACCTGCTAACCAGGGTCAGATGTACTAACTAAGGGGCTTAGTGCGTCCTTGTTGTTTTGGAAAATGGTTAAATTTAGTTGAATGCGTTAAGGAAAAAAGAAAAAAAAATACATCCCATTATTTTTAAGAAAAAAAATATTAAAATTTTAAACTTCATTTAAATTTCTAGATATGCCACTATTGACAACTATATATAATCGGAAAACAGATAAAACTACAAATAAACCTATTACAATTATTGTAATGCGGTTGTTGTGTGACATATTACATTTAGAGTTGGATTTTGAAAAATAAAATAAAGAGTTAGAAGTAAGAAATAAACATATTTTTTATTCAGAGATCACGTCTGGTAATTGACTTTTTTTTTAAATTACAATAAAATCATGCATATCATATTTTATGTATCAGGTTCATTAACACCTTCAACTGTCGATTGGTTCATTTTCTAAAATCAAACAAAAGCAGAGATATATTAAGTACATGTAGGGATGGTTCAAGATGGTGGATCGGGGTGGTTACCTTCTAAAAATTTTAAATTTTTATATATTTTTATATTTTTATTGAAAATCTATTTTAGTTTTCTTTTAAAATTTTATAATTTTTTTTATAAATTCACTCGTAATATAAAATTATATCCATCCATACAACTAAAGATTTTGATGGCAAAAGTTTCGCCCTCTTCCATTCTGGTTTGCTCCCCACCTTTCACAAAAAGAACTGATTTTCCTGCATGTATCTTATACGGCCTAATGTTTTCTCCATTTAATCAATGAGTTGGTTAAAGTGGTAAGGAATTTGATATTGTTTCAATAGGTCTCGACTGATATATGTAGAAAATATTCGTTCGAAAACTCACCTATCAGGTGTGCGACACGAGCCAGTCCAGATTAATTAGCCCACAACTTTGGAATCGATGAGGGTAACGAAAAAATGTTGTCCATTTAAGTTGTGTATGCTTCTTACTGCTAAAGACTAGGGGTGTTCACTTCTTAGTTTTAACCGAATTAATTGATCGAACCAAATTAGTTTGATTAAAATGGTCAGTCAACGAATTAATTCAGTCAGAAAACCGTTAATTTTTTTCAACATTTGATTAACCAAAAATATTAAATATAATATATATTATATATATTAAATACATATTTTAAGCTTAAACCAATTAAGAATTAAGACCTAATTTTTTTAACCACACTAGACCCATCAAATTATCAAGACCTAATTGAATTTTAACCAAAATAAAAAAATACTTCTATTAAACTCAAATTAATCTAATTAAAAAATTCGGTTAATTCGGTCACCAACCGAATTAACCGAACTTTATTCGGTTCAATTAATATTTTCAAAAAAAGTTAGATTGGGTTAAGTGTTAAAGAAAAAAATTTGATTAATTCAATTAATGAAAATTTGATCCAATCAATAGTCCAATTAACTGTTTGAACACCCATACCAAAGATATTTAAATACCCCATAAAAAGGTTCGTATAAAGACAAGATATGAAGGACATGCTATTTCCTAAATATGGACTTCAGTGTTCTCAATGCATGGTAAATGATTCGACAATCATAGGAAGATGGTGAAACTCTTGAGTATGATAGATGTTGTATCTAGTGGATACAATAAACTGAAAGAATGTGACGGTGACAACGTATGCGAAAGAAGACCATTAGCTATCAGTTTAGGAGAAGACTTTATGATTTTTATTAAGGGAGAAGACTATAACATACCATGTTAGTTTTTCTTGATGGTAGTTGATGACAATGATTATAATGAAAGTAAATTAAAATTTCGATTACGGCATTATAAATTTTAAAAGTTAGGTGACTAAAATATAAACACCTTAAAAGTTTAGAGATCATTATATAGTATACCATTATTTTTATTAACTAGTTTTCTTGATAGGTGCATTTTAGTTAGGGGTGTTCAAATTAATCCGTTACCGTTAACCGTAACCATTAATCGATGTAACTGCTACATTTTATAGGTTAATTAACCTAACCGTTAAGGTTTAATGATTTTAGTTAACCGAACCGCTAAAAATATCGGTTAACGATTACGATTACGGTTTTGATAAATCGATTAACCATTAATAAATTATAATTAATTAATTATAGTTTTTAGAGAAAAGAATTAGAAATAAAATCAAAATGATTCATCTTATCTTTTAGTTATCATGTTTATCATATATAGGAGCACATTAAATCAAATATATATGGGAGAAATACACGATTTTAAATTATAAAAAATATAGATATACACGTAAGATTTTAAACTGTAAAAAAATGTATATAACTTGTAATATATACTTCTATAAAATAAAATACCTTTACAAATAAATAAGGTTTTTATAAATATATATGTTTCTATCGTGGTTAATTTTATGAAATTTTAAAAATTTTAAGTTGTGTTATGTTTGAAAAATATTGTAATAGTTTAACCATATGTTACCCTATAATCGAACATTAATAACAGTTAACAGTTTTTTAAAGGTTATGTTATGGTTAACAAAATTTAATAACCGTTATAACGGTTAACCGACCGTTTAGACTTAACGGTACGGTTAACCGACTATGAACACCCCTAATTTTAGGTCTTTTTAGTTTGAATATTAATCACACAAAACTTTTGTCTCTCCTAATTTTTAGATTTAAATACTCAATAAAACCTTATTCTTTTGATGTAAAACAATTTAGTCCCTCGATATTTTGATCCCAACTCCGTCCCTCGTCATGTCCCAACTTTCCATATAAGAAGAAAATTAGAGTTAACTTCTCAATTTTTAAACATAAAATTATGGACTACCATCATCCTTGTGTAATAACTCTGCGAAATAGAAAACGAAGATATCCCAAACTACCCAACTATTTACCTCTTACTACGCAAGTTCATCAAGATGCATATATATGATCAATGCCACTGTTTCAAAGAATGCATCATCACTCATCTCTTTAACAACTAGACTCATTTTTTTTTATTAATCTATGATGTTTACGATATAATATCTATTCAGAACTTTCTTAACTAATTGATAACGCACACCCTGTAGACACAATTGTTCGAACCTAAAATTTCTAAGAAGAATAATATTCTATTTAACTACTGAGATCACTTACTATTATATTTAAAAACAAAATAGTATTACTACAACGCAAAATTTGTCCCAGATTTTACGAGTTGGTCAAATTTAGAAAGAGCGTAATCCAGTGCACTTGAAAGAGAAATGATACCCAAACTACTATTTATTATTGAAGGCAGGAGGTTATATCACATGGAAGTTCGACTCACAATCTCCTCTCGATGAATTCCCATATCCTCTCTTCCATGTAAATTCGGTCCCTATGGCGGCGTGGCATGTGGCGTTCATCCGGAAAAATCAGTAACTCATACGGCTTTCCAGCCGTCACAAGTGCGTTCACAAGCCTTGCTGTGTGCCTAAAATGTGCATTTTCATCGATCATGCCATGGACCAACAGCAATTTTCCTTTCTTCTTGCTAACATGGTGCATAACAGAGCCATACTCGTAACGTTCAGCATCCTTGGAAGGGAACCCCACGTATTTCTCGGTATAAAATGTGTCTTAGCCATCCCACTATCTGACAGGAGCACCGGAGATGGAACATTGGGAAACATCAGGGAACCTGGTCAACACCATGGCTGAGAGATAATCACCATAGCTCCACTCGTACAACCAGATATGGTCAGGCTTTGCCAGCCCCAGTTTAATTAGCCATTGAACACCGGT